ATCGTATTGAACAGTTTACATGCAAAGATTCATGGCAAATAGTGACTCAGATTGCTCAAAAAGTGGGGGTATGATCTTGCATGTTAGAGGGACTGTGATCAATACAGATTTCACTGTTCTGATTGCATAAAATAAGGAAACTTAAAATAAATCTAATATTCGATCAGCAATAAATTGCCTTACTTACAATATCACAATATATAGAATCGTAACCCCTGTATCATGATACTTATTGTATCACCAGATTTTTGCCAATACAAAGCCCTACAGATTACAGTTGCAGTTTTAAACATGTGATTAACGATGTAAACTTACACAAAACAAAACAAAAACTTATGATAACTACTTGGTTAGGTTTAGCTAAAAACATCAAGTAAATAAGTTATTTAAGTAACTGAAGTAAATAAAAATTTTGGATTCACACGGGACACACAAAAAAAAGTGTTTGTTTGACCCATCCATTCACCCCGTCCTCATCCCTATGCAGACTATGATGAGAAACCTTTCTTTGATATGTCAAAAACAAAAGTAATCCAGGCAAAACATTTGAATTGACAATGGATCCATCCATCTGGTGTAACATTTCATGTTTTCTGACGAGCTGACAGCCCAAAAGAGCTTAGTCATCTCAGCACAGCATTGTTCTTCGTGCCTGAGGCAGAACGTGCTGTGCTTGATTTAGGTCATAGAGGCCCTACAGCAAATCTGGTAAACATATTGATTGTAGTCTCCCAATTAAACGGCTCTCAGTAATGTCACGGCCGAGTGCCTGAATGAATACACACAGGCTGGTGTTAGATTTTGTCTCAGGGACATATGGGACAGCTTTTTCTCTCTGTGACTGTGCTTTCAAAAACAAACCTGTCGCTCCTGCTGTTTGAGAAATGAGTGTGAAGCCTGACTGCAAAGGATGTTGAGGACAAATCACTTCAATCTATACACTGGACTCATGCAGGTGCTGAGAAAAGCAAACATCACCTTATTGTTGGACAAGAACATGTGGAAATCATATTATTCAAAGTAGCCATCATCCATTTATATTTTGATTTTGATTTTGTTTCAAAAAAGACACTTGTCCTTAAAATGGCAATAATCAATATTCTTATAATAACAAATTATGGCAATGTGAAAACAATGTGACAAAATGAATGGGGTCACTCATAGTGATGAACCAACAGAGATGAATGACCTGAATCTATTTACTAGTGAGTTTCAGCTCACTTTTTAGCTGTCTGGCCCACAACTTTACTGTTCTGGTTCACTTTCACTGCTCTTAAAGTGTTGTTTTTTGTGAAAACATTCTGAAAACCCACTGTACACTACTTGCTCAGCAGCAAGCGGCAGACAGACAAATTTAGCAATAGTTGCAAAATGAAGCTTTTAGCAGCTGAAGAGCCAGATATTTCCCTCAGGACTTGGAGGAGTCCCAGTACAGAGCTAAAAGAGAGTGACTGTCGGACTTATTCACAAGGTGAATAGACTCATGACTCATGGTAATGTTGCTCTGTATCTGCTGGATGCAGCTGTTTGCTAACAAGTTGACATCAACTGAACAGGAATCACATGTCCATCAGGACTGCCATCTCTCCTGCACTGACTGTGAGACCCACACAATTAAAACATTTTCCTCATATTTTAACTGTCAAAAAAAAAACAATCAATAGGTTTGCTGAACCGGGTAGCCTATAGGGACTACGGGGAGTAAAAGCTCTTCTCCCAGGCTTGTCTAGTGGCACCTGTTCAGCATCATAGCTATGATGATAAATGCCCTTCGAGTCAGTTTAGTCTCTCCCAGTTCAACCAGCCTGGACTGGCTGTTAGTCCAGCAGAAAAAACAAGTCCACCACCCAGCAGTATCTTATTGAAACCATTGGTTAATATATGTGTTCGAGCAGTGACAAGCTATTCTATTTAGAAAAACATCTTTTCCACTTTCCAAATATTTCCAAAAATGACACACGATTTGACCGAAAGCCCAGATGTCCCAGTTTTACACCAGCACTTAAATGCAGCATACATTTGTCTGAAGCTGGAGACCGTGAAATAGTTGCAAATTAATTCAATACGCAAATGCAACCTTGTGTATCAGGCGATCCATATGCACACATTTAACAATCTGTAAATAAATACAAAAGAATGTCACAAATATGTTTTTACATTTGCATGATCAGATCTGTGAAGTGTAAAATCTGTATGTAAAATCTGTAGTAAACAATCTGATTGTGATGTCTGCATTCGTAAAACTGTTTTACACATGTTCACATTTCTTGGTATTTGTGTGTAGATTGTAACACTGTTCTGTGTGTGATCTGTGTTCTGTGTTCTGTGAACTTTTGTTTTTTTACATCTGCAATAGCGTTACTACTGTGTTAATTTTTCGATCTTGTCGTTGTTCCCTCTGATGTGAATAATATTTGAATGATGCCCTCGAGTGTGTGGCGGTATGTGTGTTTTAGCGCCGCAGTTTTGCTGGAATGTGCAGAGTTCTGTTGAATCGTGTTTATGGGTTTTATGTTATTGTACCTGCTTTGTTATCATATAAATATATGTGACTGGTTCTTGTGAATTTGTTCTTGTGTGTTAATTACATAGATTTTGACTATATGCATTGCCCGTTAATGACGAAGCATCCCGTCATGCTGGCGTCATAATGAGGTTATTAGGAGGTGGTTTAACTGTAGCACAGCACTGAAGCCGCAGGTATAAAATACACGGCCCGCCACTGCATTTGGACCCTATTGAGACGAATGTCACTCCACTGACACAACCCCCAAAGTAATGCTGCGGTCACGCTGCTCCGTATTTGATTGATATGTTAACAGGCAACTGTTTGCTAAGAAATGTATCAACCTAATATATGATAATATGTCAGAGCATTGATATAGCAGCAAACAACTATTTGTAATGTAAAGATATAATGGAGTAATTTCTAAATGAGCACTTTATGTTTGTTATAATCAAAGCTTCTCTGTGCTTTGTTGACACAGTGAGGGCCTTTTAGTGCATGTTTGTACACGTGAGCATGCCCCACTGGTTAGCTCATGGCGGGTGCTCTGCACTGCTCTTATACGGCTGTTACAGCTGATAACGTCACCACGACCAATGGCGTCATTGCGGAAGCCTAGCGTCCCACCTAGTTCCTCCTCAGCTAAATACTGTGAGCTCTGTCAACACTGTTACTGTTGTTTGCGCTGTTCGCCGCAGTCGCCATATTAAGCGCTATGTGGAGGCAATAGAAATGCTCTGAATCTGGAATCTAGCACCTTTAATAGTTTAATAAAGGTAATTCTACATGCATAAGAATGGCCCTGAAGAACAGTGTATTATTTTAAGATTCTGAAAATGTCAGAATTCCCAAAATTTGGGCCAACATGTGTTTTTTACAGACCCTCATCTGGTATTACTGAGTCACCATTGTGAGGGCACATCTGTGTCTTAAATAAAGCACATGCTACTTTTAAAACACTCCCACATGTAGTGAGGGATTTTAGAACAGCTGCTCCCCGGCTATTTTTTGATGGATGCAGCTATCAGATGAACTGGCTCAGAATCCAACACATCACACAGAGGGGAGACATCGTGCGTGTCTTCACTTTGCTATTAAATCAGCCAAACTCCATATACTTGGCACTAACGATAATGGTGCTCCATAGTACCAATCATGAAATGACAACTGTGGAATACATAATATCACAGCAATATTTAATGTAATTTTGTATAATGTTTCCTGATACTGAACTTTTGTTAGAACAGTGACAGTAAACTGTGGCATAAAATGTGACATTGTAAAAGACCTGAATTGAAAATGGAAACATTGGCATCGAAACAAGTTTCACTGAAAAATATAACACAGGCATTAAAAATGATTTCATTATATTTTTTGCATCAGGGTGTATTTTTCACTGACAATATTCTGTTGTAATGTTAAAAATAAATCCTTTGAAGTGACTTTAATGTGGATTGAAGCTTTTCAAATTCTATATGGTCAAAGGAACTACCTGGGGGACATGGCCATAAATCTTCTCCAAGTCAACACATGTAGACTGGATAGGCAACGCCCCGTAACCCCCCAGCAACTCTGCAAGGGTAAAGAGGTGATCCACTGGCCCATGGCCAGAACGGGATTCCATGTTGCTCCTCCTGGATCTAAGGTTTGGAGTCGATCGGAGCCTCCTTTCCTGCACCCTGGAATGAGCTTTCCCAGGGAGGCTGAGCAGTGTGATTTTTATTTAAAAAAATGGGACCACCCCTGTCAATGATTCTACCACTCTCAAATGTAAATAGGCTTTATGTATATGCAAATTTGCAGTATATCGACAGGCAACATTTACTGCTTCTGATGGGACACAGGAAACACAAAACAACAACTATATTTAAATATGCAGTGACACATTATGTCTATAGTTATATATAATTGTGTCAATACTACTGTTTACTGCAATTTTGAAGAGTTCCACAAATGTCAAGTCTTGGAAAATGGTTAACACTGTAAAATATTAATTTTAATTGACATCGGTGTAAAATAATTTCCCATTCAGATTATTACATTAACAAAAATATCTCTGGGTCCCATTTTCATACTTTTATCCAAAACCTAGCAATACAATTACAAAAGTTAATTTTCAGAAGTTACATCCATATTAGTAAAGAGTCAAAATGTCAGTAGATATATGATATACTTTCATGTTAACTAAGGTTTAAAAAACATTTAAATATACAAACATTGCAGACATGTACAATGTCTGCAATGTACAATGGTACAGAGAAACTGGAATATCTATTTAGATAAATAAAAACAACAACACCAATAATAATAATAATAATAATAAAGAATTGGGATAAATAAACTTCAATGATATAAGAAAAAAAGCATTATTATTCTGGAAAGAGTTCACCGTACGGTTGAACAGTTTAATTACATGTTTAGTGTTTATACGTTGAAGTTAGTATGTGTTTCAGTGTGTGACAGGAACAGGCCGGTGACGCTTCATGACAGCCTCTTCGCCCAACAGTGCATTCTGGGTGCAACCCAAGATGGCTGCGCCCTTGCAGAAGTGCTGAAAAAGTGCCTCTCCGGAGAAATTCTCAGGATTGTGTGTGATTTCCAAGAAAACCGTCGCACCAAATCCGCTACCAGGGTCGCTGGTTTGTAGAAGAAGACCACACGATCCCAGTCATCGATAAGTGTGGCCGGTGCTTCGTGTGGCTGTGGCAGACTGTCCGCGTGAAGATGGGCCTCGTCTCCAGCCCCTTCCCATAGCGAAGAGCCGTGGGGAGAGGAGCCGCAGATTCCCCTGCAAACACGCACCCGTCCAACTCGGACTTGACGGGTTTGACATACTATACAGGTTGTGGACGCTGCCCTACAATTTTCTGACCAGGATTGTTTGTGCGACCGTGTCTGTCATCGTCCGGAGACGAAGAGGTTCTCCTGCCCGGGTTGATAATCCCACCGCACCAAGGTCTTGCACGTATCTGCACACTTCTATGCCACAACTAGCGCCATTTCTGCACATCTGATCGGTTTCGATTACCTTATATTATCAGGCTCTATTCATGTGGTTTCGCTTTAAATAGCACTAGCTTCTCCTGTAGTTTGACAGCTGCCTGCAATAGCCAGAGCCAGCTGTCAAATGAGCTGCGCTAGTGGAGCTAGCTGGGCTAACGTTAACTGTCCCGCCGGTTGCTCGCTAGCAAAGAGCTCCAGCTGTGAACCAAGTTAATGACAGCATATCCGTATTTACATGGTTGTAGGCGCACGCAACAGTTAACCAAACTAGCTCCTCATCTGTGGCTGGAGCAGTGCTCACGTGGCCAGCGTTTAGCCCCACCATGACATCATCCAGGTGTTGCTCTCTCTGTGACGGAGTGATAGTAAGCTGGATACTACACTGCAGAGTGAGACAGCTCCAGACGCCAGTGGGTTTGGTTTCACTTGTTGTGATTTTCCTTCATGCAGCAGATTCACAGCAGTGCATTAAACATGACTCATAACCACCATCACCTGACCTGACGGAACTATTTTTGGTTTAAGGTCATAACACTGGAAGCTCAGCAGCCATTGTGGTTTTCCAGATAATCAATTTTCAGTATTGCAACTTGTCCACTGGTATCTTTTTGCTTCTACAGTTACTAAGTACATGCATCACCAGTATTGCAATATCTGCGCACTTACATTGGTTGTAATATTTCAAAGCTCACTTTCTCTGGAAGACTTGTATGCTTGAAACATCACAACGCACAAACAGCTTTTTAGGTGGAAGTTAGGTAATGTGTTGTTTAAGGTTTTGTGAACCTACTTTTTTTTTTTTGATATCTTCCTTTAAGGGTCAGAGAAAAACTTGTTGATTGTTAATATCTTCAAAACCCAAGCAGCACCACTTATATTAGTCTAAATTTAAATCAGGAGTCATCAAAAAATAAGTAAATAAGATTACTGCAGTAACCGGATGGTGTTGTTTTCACTCTCATGGATTATTTATGATCCACCACCACATTTAAGTGTCTCATGTTGGTCCCTGTAGCGTGGCTAGACAGACTCTTTGGTTCTGCCAATACTGCACAATGCCTTCCTTATGTATACACATGCTTTCAGGTGATCTTTTATTTTCAGATTTATGTTACATTTATGTTATTTATGTTATAGCAGTTGAGTAGTGGGTGACAAATGTATCAGCCATTTTCATTGTTATTGTGAGAGTAAAGTACCAGCCCCAGCTAAAATGATCATATTGTTGGTTAGCTTACCAACACAACTGCACAGCATGAGGCGACAGAAATTCATCAAACGTGTGTTACTAACGAGAGCTCCCCCCTGCAGGGCCCTGATGAAAATGGACTCGGACTTACTTCCTTCTCCAGCCGTGGGCCTCGCAGAGGAAGAGGAGGCCGACATGAATGACTGGAAACTTCCCCTGGCCTTCATGAAGAAACGGCACTCTGAGAAGATTGAGGGCTCCAAGGCTTTAGCACAGAGCTGGAGGATGAAGGACAGGGTAATGTTCCTGCTTATCTACGGAGTAATTCAGCATGTTAAGGATGTGTGTTGTGGAGGCTGTGGCTCTCTTTTAGCTGGTTCGCCCTATTTTCAGTCTCAATGCTAAGCTAAGCTTACCGACATCTGACTGTAGCTTCATATGTACTGTACAGATGTGCGAGATAGGTGGTTTGTAATGTTAATGTGGGAGGTGAGCAGCCAAGACACCAGTGTTGATAGATGACTGAGGTCATCCCAGTTGGTGCTTAATTGTGTAAGGTAAATGGTGATGCTTAGGATTGGTGAATTGGCCATCCACAGTGTCACTTCTCCAAATTTCAATCCATTAAAGAAACAAATCAAATGCACCAATTCTTCACACTTCACTTTAAGGCAGCGTCATTCTTTTAACAGCCAGGACGCAGCGACAAATCATTGCCTACCTGCGTCTTTATTATAGTGCCAATTAATTTTATTCTGCTGAAGGCTACCCATACTACGCTTCGACAGGGGAACCTCAAAGCTTAGTCCCATGAATGGCCACAGTGTGTTTCAGCTCTCATAAAGCTGTCGTTTCATTCGCTGCCGTGCTATCAACCTGATTCTTTCATTGCCTCGTGGCTACAGAGCACTACCATTATAATGATGGCAAAGGCTACGTTGTCATTCGTTACCCGAACAAACTCTGCACTTATTGTAGAAATTCACCAAACGAAAAATGTATCACTGCTGTTCAGACACGAGTGGAATTACATCACAGTGCCTGCCAGTGTGAAGCTTCTGGCAAATGTTTAATAAGACGACATCATTAAATGTGACCCTGGTGGTGATTTAAGAGGTAATAGGAGCTGGCTGAAATGGTCCTTTTTATCAGAAAGTCATGCTAAATCAATGGAGTAGTATTTTTCATTGCTCAGAGCATTTTCAGGGCCGTAGACCCTCATTTGTACACTTATAGAAGAATGTGTCCTTCAACATTTCTATGCTCAAAGAGCTGCGACAAAAGAGAGCTTTTTGTTGTTTTATACAGGTAGAATTTAGCTTTGAATGAAATGCTGGCATGGCTTCAAATCCATTGTTTAAGATGGTGGTAATTACAAAATGATGGTTTTGAATGTTTTTCTTTTTCATTATTATCTTTTGTTGAATAATAATAATATGAATGGCCATGGATGCAGAACCAGCTTGACTTATGTTTTTGCACTTTCTAGCACAAATAATCACTAGTAAGAGAATTGAGGGTGGTTTTTAGGATTAGTGTGGCATGTAGTTGTGTTGTCATCAATCTCGGCGTCGGCTGTTGGTGTTGAGACAGATTATTTCTGAGGAGAAAAATCTTATCATGCTGCCAACAGATTCTTGCCTGATATCAGACAAAATTGAGAACTGTGTTTCCATCTTCAGCCTGACATTGCCTCCCCTTGAACCGATTTCCAATTTGATTCATATTAAGTCGACACTGATGCGTGGCCATGCCAATATATGGTTTTAAGACCTTTGAATCCGCCCACTCCAGTGTAATGACAGCTCTGTCTGTTATCAGGCAAAGAGTGGAGCGGAGCAAATTAAAAACAAACATGTTGTAAATTATTAAATCATATCTTAACATGTGATTCAGCAGCATTTGCTCTGTAACGCATTTCGCAGAATACCGAGTTCTAACTGACCGGTCTGGTTTGTGTAGAGGTGTGAGTTGTTACTTTATAGCAGTCTGATTCAATGAATGTCGTGCGTAATGTGACACTGCACTCTGGTGCGTCGCTTAAAATAGTTAATTTACATTTTAAGCTTTATTGTGTTATTGTTGTGGGTTTGCTCCTGTTGACAAAATCAACAGAAACGCCACACAGACGGGCAGAGTGAATTTCCAGGTCCGGAAAATAGGGACCCAGAATGTTATGCTGCAGTTTTCTACATTTGTTTTTCATGTGGGGATGATCACATAACTGCTTTGGATGATTTAAGGTGATGAGCAGTATCTTTCACAGTGAGGATATCGAGCACGTTGGTATGCGGACAGGTGATCGTGGTGAGAGAAGTGTGCAGCTTGAGGCTTACAAGTGGGCTGTAAATGATGTCCTGCACTGTGGGAAATCATAGGTCTTGCTCTTGTGGACACATATACACGCACAATTACAATCACACACACACACATTATCTCTGGGTGAAGACGGGAGCAGAGAGGCTGTACAACTACAAGGCTCATTGATCAGAATGGTGTGTTTATTCCCCTGTTGGGCCAATGAAAGCTATTCAGATGTGTGTGTGTTTGTTGTTGCAACTGCTCACTGCTGTTTGTGTGTCCCACTGTGTTTGCAGCAGGATTGTGTGTACCTTTGCTGCTCCTGCCAAATTGAATAATAACAGTTTTTAGATGTACTGTATGAATAGCTTTCATTGTCGTACATTAGACTCAAGGTCAAGGCTTACTTCAGATGACAAGTGGCTCCTTTAAGGAATAAAAAGCTCCCTAACTGATTATTAGACAGCTATTAAGAGGGCATGAAGTATTATTTCTGACAGCAATGTTACGTGCAGTAAAAGAAATTAAGATCAGAGGTGTGATTCTAATTATCCTGTTGGCTGCTCAATAAAGGCTGCAGTGTGGAATTAAAGCAGTCAGCTTGACAGGGAGTGAATGAGCAAGATTAGGTTTGCATTGATTTTACGTGGTATTGATTTGGTTCCCATCACGAAAAGAACAAAACAAATTTGTGGTATTTTGTTGTTTTAGGCATATTTTCATTCTCGGACTCACAGTGAACATAGAACAAGATGTCACCATGGTGCTAGCAAACCAACATGAACCTGATAAGAGAAGGTGATTGCAGCACAGGCTTTCACCATTATCGATCCGCAGGTGTTACACTGGTTTTTAGCCCGATTGCCTTCATCCACTGACATTGTAGTCAGTACAAAGTCAAAAAGTTAGAACAGGAGAAGCAGCCCTGTGCTGATTTATGTTGACGTCAGTGGCACCAAGTGTATTTTTTGTAATTAACAATAAAACGATCAAGGCTGGGTTTGGTAAACTTCTTCAAAAAACATTTGCCAGCCGGTATCTGTGGCTGTTAGAGGACTGTAATAAGACTACATACCTGCCTGCGCACTTGTTCCACAAGATGCTAGCGTGACAGCTGTGAGTGCCAACATAGCCATGCTCGTTTACATTGATTATGATTATTCTGTGGGAGTGGCTCCACCCACAGAATACCTCATCATGTTTACTAACAGAATAAAGGTCTATTCAATGTCCCAACAAAAATTGCTTTAAAACTTGGTACACTATTGTGTCTATATACATGTTGTATTCCTTTTTTTCTCACTATCAGACACACAACAAGGCTTTTCTTTAACTATGATTCAAAATGTCGTTATTTGAGTGTTTCCATGGCCTAGTTGTTGCCTTTCTCTTCCCTAGTGCCCACAGCAGTGTTGTAATTACCACAGAAACGGCACATTGTTGTTGACACACTTACTTACAGCAGAATGTTTCATTGTTTGTACGAACATGTTCTTTTCTGAGATTTTTTTTTTTTGACAAAATGGCTCAAGGCAGTCTTCTTTTTTTTCTCTTTTCAGGAGGACTGGGATTATAACTCTATTCATCTATTGAATGTTAGTTGAGTTATGATTTATCATCAGGTGGACAATCATACTTGATTTTTGGAGGCGGAGTGAGCCACTGTGGCTGGCGATGGTTTCCAGATGACCTGTAACTTGCTCTCATGCGTTGCCTGCTTGGTTTCTCCACTTAGGAAAAATTAAATCAATAAGTAATCAATAGCCAAGCCCATTGTAATGATGTGGAAATGAGACGGGTGGTCTGTGCCGCTTTATTGTTTAAATCATTAGTTGAATTCAATCAATGTACACCATTCATCAGGCAGAATATAGACTTTCAGCCACAGAGGCGTAAAAACAGAATGTATTTGCAAGGGACTAGAAATAATTACCATAGGTCGACCGATAGACCAATCAACCGAAAATACAGTTTACTGCCGTGGTCAGATCGTAACGTAGCAGATGCCGGTAGAATGTGTGTGGCACGGTCAGTTTGTCGCACACGACCCTGCACTCCAGTAGTTTCAGCTAGGAGATGTGTTCAAGCGGTGGAGCATCGTAAAACACACTTCATTCATACTCGACAGAAACAAAATAAAACTCACCAAAATGTTTTTTTTCCACTGTTTCAACAATTTGATCGAAAAAAACTCTTTATTCATCAAGTTAGATTTGTAAATATGTACTTGTATACCGCTTTTCTTCCGACCACTCAAAGCGCTTTAACACTACATGTCATTCACACCCATTCATACACTGGTGATGGGGGCTACCAATGTTTGGGATAAAGTGTCTTGCCCAAGGACTCATCGACATTAACACAGATCCTCTGATTGAAGGACGACCCGCTCTACCACTGAGCCACAGTTTCTCCTTCCATAACTTCTGTTACACGTCATTTTTCCTTTTGTTTTTACATTCAATGAGAAAAGTCTTCTCGAGCACATGGGAAACGCAGGGTTCAACGTTAATATATTTCACTTTCTAGCAAGAAATCGAATTGCGAAGTCAACTTTTACTTGCCTCTCTACAAATTGTTTTATTTATTGGAAGATATAGAAATAACAACTAACACCTATGTTAATTGTAACATTGTAAGTTTTGAAACATCTTGCTAATTTGCAAAGATGTTGGAGATGATTGTCTTTCTGTATTTGAATGTGTGTAACGATGTGAGGAAGTAGGGTGGTGCCTGAGAAGTATGCAGTGTGTCTGCTGTACAGGGCTTGTCATGGGAACTTTCATGAGCAGTCTTTCTTGGCTTTCAGCTGAAGTGTTCAATATCTGACGTATTGCTGCCGGCTACCTATGGCAGTCTTGGAGGAGATTGATGCTCTCCACCATTTTTATGACCTTCATTTATTGTGGACCTAACAAATGGAATAATCAGGGGCCATTGATCGACGCAGCAAGCGGTGCTCGGGGCATTAAGGGAGTCTTCAAAGGGCGTAGAGG